TTTTTTTTTTTTTTTTTTTTGAGACGGTCTCACTATGTAGTTGAGACTGACCTGGAACTCACTGTAGCCCAGGCTGGTCTCGAAATCACAGTGATCCTCCTGCCTCAGACTCCCAAGTGCTGGGATTACCGGTGTGCGCCACCACACTTGGCTTGGATTTACTCTTTATCTCTGATTCCTCCAGAACTCCATTATTTTTTTTTTTTCCTGTGCTCATCAGAACTCCATTATTTTGAGTGAGATATTGCATTTGAATGACATTAACCTCTCTCTCTCCTTTTTACTGTGTTATCCAGGCTGGTCTTAAACTCTTGGGTTTGATCCTCCTGCTTCTGTCTCCCCAGTAGCTGGGACTGTAGGTGATGCACCACTTCTTCCTGACATGATGCTGTGTTCTTTTTCAGGTTTTTCTACCAATACATTTGGAGGAGTTGGGATGAAGAAGAGGAGGATGAGTACGATTATTTTGTCAGATGTGTTGAACCCCGTATGAGATTGTAAGTATTTCCTGTACATCTTAGAAAAGTGGTTATCCATGGATTAGTTTTACTCTTGTGCCACACCACACACACGCACGCACGCACGCACGCACCCACCCACGCACGCACTTGCGCAGTAGACACAGACTCTAGGGACCTGCAGAGAGCAACAGACTGATAGACAAATAGTACAGTCTCTTGACAAGTATTAAATGAAACTTATGCAAAGGCAGAGATATCTGCTTTTGAATTTTAAAGCACAGGTCAAGAACATCTAAGGTAATAATTTATTGTTTGTAGATCTGAATAAAATCCAGTTAAACCAATGTGCTAAAAATCCTTTGTTAGGGGTTGGGGATTGTAGCTCAGTGGCCGCGTGCCTGCCTGGCAAGCACAAGGTCCTAAGTTCGATTCCTGGTACCAAAAAAAACCCAAAAAGACAAAAATAAAAGCCCTTTGTTAAAATCAGACATTTGCAAAAAACAGTGAGTACTTTTAAAGGTAAATGGTCTTACTCTAAATTTCTATATTAAAAAAATAAATTTCTATATAAAACCACATTATACAAAAGTAACAGACTTAAGATATTTTGTCAGGCTCTTTCTTCACTTGACAAATAGTTAAAAAGATGAAATAGTTAATATTGGTGAATAAATATTTCTAAAATACTGAAACATACTGTATTTTTCTTTTTGGGTTTTTTTATTTATTTGTTTATACCAGGAGCCAAACTCAGGACTTTGCACTTGCCAGGCAGGTGTGACACCATTGAGCTGAATTTGCCGGCCCTTTGTATTTTTCTAATTGATAATATTTTGGCAGGGAAAACCCCTTCCATACAGATATACAAAAATTAACCATGTAACCCAGATAATTGTTCTGTTTATTAAATGTAACGTTTATCTTTCCCCAAGTGGTACTTTCATTCCATTTTTTTCTTATATTTATGTATAGTAATAGGCAGAGCTGCAGTAAGAATAAAATTATAAATTATACTCCAAAAAAAAAAAAGAATTATAGAAAGTAATTTTTTTCCCTGTGTGAAAGATGATATGACTGTAAGGCAGTCAGTCTTCACATTCTGTAGAACCCAATTTCATTTAATTTTTCTTGGTTTAAATAGTAATAAAATAAAGTAGTAAATAGAAATTATTTGGGAATTTGGTTCATGTTTCTACCTGGTTCAAAATTATGTATGCCTGATTTCAACTCTTCATAAACTGACCATGAGTTCTATTTAGGCTTTATAAATTTTTCCATTGTGCTTGTCCAATTTTCCTATAGTGTAAATTTCAATAAACTTGAATATTTTATAGGTTTCATAGTGCCTGCTCTTAAACAATTACTGGTTTTGATAGTGAAATGTGAATATCATGTATCTGGAAAATTCAGTCTTGGAGAAAAATTATATTCTGATTTGGTAGCCTTGTACATGCATAAGTGATTTATATACATACTTGTGCTGGCAGACGAGAAAGCATGATAGGGGAATTATTTTTGGTTATGGGGAAGAAACTGTGATACTTGGTGGAGAAATTGAAATGTTATCTAATGTTGACACATCTAAAAAGGTCCCTGGGCTAAGATAGGAATAGGGCTACCAACAAGGCAACATTTGAAAAGAATCAAACTGTAGTGACTAGATTTTACACTGTGCGGTAATTTTTTTCCTTTGTAATTCAAGGCACACTATTTCAAAACTTAGGGGTCTGAGACAGATGTTGGTTCATCGTCTCCAGATTATGAAGTATCCATAAAATGCCAAAAAGTTGATTAGCATAGGCACTAGAAATGCTAAAAAGCTGAGTATGGTGGTGCATACCTGTAATCCCAGCACTCCAGGAGGGTGAGGCAAGAAGATTGCAAGTTTGAGCCTCTAATGGCACCTTAGGTAGACATTGCCTTAAAATAGGGATAGAGATGTATAGTGTTAATGCCCTGGGTTCAATCCCTAGTAAAACAAAAAAAGCTAAGAAACGTAAAATTTGAGTCTTGATCTCCACAGTTTAATAGACCTGATCAATCAGTCAGGAGGTTTGCTTCCTAAGTTCTTATTTGCAAAATGGATTTCCAGAATAGTTTATTTTTAATGTCTATTTTTGATCCCCCATTTTATTTGTTTTTTATTTTTTACAAAAAAGTATGGATTAACCAAAGTAGACAAAATCCTCACTTTTCAAGTGTCACCCAGTAGTCAGCACATTCATTCCCTCTGCCATGCCCACTTCTCCATTGAACCCAACCCTTTTGGCCTTGCTAACTTACCGAGCCTGGCCTCATCTGGCATTATAGACATGTGCCATTGTATCTGCAGTAGTTTACTTTTAGCTGAGAAATAAAGTTATTAAAAACTTTGTGTATAACAATGATATTCTTTATTTTCAAATTTATTACCTTTTTCTTTTTTCATTTTATTAGCTGATTCTGCATCCATAAATTATTGTACTTTAAAATACTTTTTGTTTCCACATTTGAGAAGGTATATATTACAAATGGCACATGAGAGTCCATTCGGACACGGGCTTTGTGAGAGAAAGGGCTTTGTTCCTGTCTGGTTGTGAGCGGAAACTGAAATTGGGCAAGATTTCGCAGCTAGCTGGGAGGGAAATTAGATTTTTATAGGTTTTTAGAAGGGGGACTGTGATCTGGAGTGGAATGACTGAGGGTGAAAGGGTGGCAGTGCAGGTGTGTATATAAACTGGGCTCTTTTGCAGCGATATTGTGTACTCCATCCTAAATTTTCTATGGCAGTTTGTTCTGTTTACTGAGAATAGCTTGTTGTTTGTTGAGAATGACATGTTTGCTGTGAAGGTTTCTTCAGGCCAGGCATGACATTCCCATCTTTTTGTTGTTATATATAGAGACGGGCAGGAAAGGGGGTGATGCTTCTCATAGCTACTTAGTGCATGACAAATGGGCAGCGTGAGCAGCCTAGATGGAGAAAGATCTTGGTGAATGGGAGTATATCGAGGAGAGGCCAGGGCCAGGGTGATCACCTGATGCAGTTGTGAGGGAAGTCTGAGGAGGCATTACCCAAACAGGAGGAGGAGGATGATACAGGCAAAAGGTCCACTTAATGGAAGAAGCCATGTGGCCCAGCCTGAGAGATTAGTCCAAGACTCAGATAGGCACTGTCTGATTTCTGAGGCCTTTTCTGCTAATCTCTTAGCTGCATCTTGTACTATGCCTGACTGACTAGAATAGAAAAAACACTTCTCTGAAGATGCATAACTCGCCCTTCTTGGCTGGTAGGAGAGCTAAGTAAGCCTCGATGATTCTGTAGAGTTACTGCCACCAGGGAGTCTGTCTAGTTCTGTAAGGTAAGAATGCAATTAGCTATTTCTTTGTGGCTGTCAGATCTTTAGAGAGGGAGCAACTGTAGATCACAGAGGTAGATAATCCTGCCATGCTGGTACCTGCAACCAGTGATGATGCCCAAACCAACAAGCTGGGGTATTAAGTGTATGGCTCTATATTGTCGGATCTGGGCTCTAATGGTGACAGGCAGGCTCTGGTTTTCTGGTGCATTGTCTTTGTTTGGGCTAAGGTATGTCATTGTGCAGGTGCTTTTCCAGCCAGTGGGGAAGCATAGATAGGTAGAAGTCCCACAAAGGAAAAAGACACCTTGGCTAGGTAAGTAGCATTGGTTATGGACATTAAAGAGGTGCGTGACTTTATGGTTTTCTCTTTCCCAGGTGCCCAGGGTGCCTGCCAGGGCAGCACCTGTCGGGTTGGAAGGGTCCCTGGTGGGGAATTTGACTGGCACCCATTGTCCTGTTTTCCACTTATAGGAAAAATCTTTTGGTGTCTGTTAGAACTCATTGTGAGGAGTGGTATGATCTCCTGTCGATAAACCAGGTGTGGTTAGGGTTGAGAAGGGGATAGGTGGAAATCTGAGGAAAAGAAGAGGTAGCTAGGTGTATCAGAGACCTGCAGTCATGTAGTTAAGGCTTTTTAGAAAGGGGTGGTGGGTTGATAAAGTGAATGGCTGGATTAAATTTCAGGCCCAGGGTGATTGTAACCATGGGAGTCTCCATGAAAAGTACAGAGTTGAATAAGGTGAGGGGCGGAGAGAAGGTGTGAAGGTTAGATGAAGACACAAGTCCCTAAAGGTAGTGGGAAGAGTAGAGGGTTAGTGGGGCATGTCTAGTGATTTTGAATGATTCTATGAGTAACAGAGCTGCAGCGGCAGCCATCTTTAGCCATAGTGGCCACTGTGTTACAGTGGGGTCAAACTGCTTGGACAGAAATGTGATCAGGCGTGAGCTGGGACCTTGTGTTAGAAACCCCACTGCATATCCTCTGTACTGTATTGTAAAAAGGCTGAAGGTTTGAGGTCTGGGAGGGCTAAATTAGGGGGCTGTTTTTAGAGCTTTTAAGGTCTCAAAGGATGAATGAGGGAAAGTCTTGTGATCTAAGGCCCCAGCAGGGTCTCTCTCAGTTTGTAGAGGGGTTTTGTGAGGAGAGCAAGGATGGGGACCCAGAAGTGGAAATATCCTAGTATGCTAAGACGGGAGAGGATTGTTTGGTAGTAGAACCTGGAATCTGGGAAATTAAGTGGATGCAATCTGAAGGTAGGGCTTGAGTATGTTTGTGAAGAATGATGCCCAAATAGGTTACAGATGGGGAAGAGATTTGGGCCTTAGAGGGGGAAGACATACTATCCTTTGGAGTCTAGATGTTGTAATAATAAGAAGGTATTGGGAGAAAGGAAGGAAGGGACAAGAAAAGAAGTGAAAACAGAAGGAAAAAATTGAGACGAAGTTTTTGTACATAGGGAGGGGAGGGGGGAATGAGGTAAAATAAATTATTAAAAAATAAGGTGTCTTTATAGGACGACTTGTAGAAGGGACTGCAGAGGAGGAGGTCATCTACATATTGTAGATGAGAGGAGTAAGGATGAAAGGAAAATAAATTGTGTGTAAGGACCTGACCAAAGTAGTGGGGCAAGAAGCCTTGAGGCAAGACGGTCCAGGTCATCTGTTGGGACTGATGGGTATCAGGGTCTGTCCAGGTGAAGGCAAAGAGAAGCTGTGGCGGGGGGAGGGGGAGCCACAGGGGAATAGTGAAAAAAGCATCTTTTAGTTCTCAAGAGTAGTGAGTGATGGATAGAGGGATGGAGGACAGAAGTGTATAGGGTTTGGCACCATAGGGTGTATGGGGAGGACAAGCTGATTAATAGTGTAGAGATCTTGTGCCAGCTTAGAAGAGCCATTTCCCTCTTACTGGGAGAATGGGAATAATGTAAGGCGAATTGACAGGAATTAAAGACTGTGTATTAATAGGTAAGAGATGATAGGTTGTAAGCTCCTTAAAGTCAGGTCAGAGATGGGACATTGTTGGGCACAGTAAGTAAGGGTGATTGGGCTTGAGAAGAGTGTTATGTGCTGGTTGGGATGAGGCCAGGAATGGGGTGAGAGTGTTCCAGAATCTGGGTTGAGGTGAGGGGAGATGATGCGAGCCTTGGGTGGCCAGAAGGACAAACCAAAGCATCTGTAAGCACTGGCTGTGTCCTGGGGAGGGTCAGAATGGCCCTAAAAGGGTAATAGGACAGGTGGGGATGACTAATAACTAGTGTGGAAAAAAGTTTTGGCCCAATTGACACCAAATTGGAGGCATTTTAAGGGGTCTGGAGACTGCTGTCAATCCCCATAATGGTAATTGGGACCAAGAAAGTTAGTTCTTGGAAGGAAGGCATGGTAGAGTGCATGGCACCTGTGTCGAGGAGGAATGGGTTGGACTTATCCTCCACTGTAAGAGTTACCTGCAGCTTGGCATCTGAGATGGTCCAGGAGGCCTTTTTGCTTCCAGGTGGTGTCAGGCCAAAAAGGTCTGGGAAGCAGCTGGCCTGGGGTCCCTGGGGTTGTGGCCCAGAAGCAGCAGGGGTGGCTGCTAGTACTAGACAGTCTGACTTCCTTTAGGGACCCCTGAGAATCCTAGGCTTCAGGCATTTCCTATACCAGTGACTATTCTGGTGGCATTTGAAGGATGGCCTTGAGTCGGGCAGTTTCAATCCTTTATTATATCTTGGCAGCCAGTTCTGCAGGGTTTCTTATGGCAGAGGCAAGGACCTGCAGCTCAGAAATGCACTGCTGTTGAGAATGTTCCTCTGTTATAAACTTTGGAAGCCACACTTACTAGCTTTTGCTGTGGTGTTTGAGGGTCAGTCTCCAATTTTTGTAATTTTTTTAAAAAAATGAATATCGGGGGCAGACTAAGCAATAAATGTGTCTTTAAAATAAGTTGGCCTTCTGGGCCCTCTAGATCCAGAGCCATATAACAACTGAGGGTGGGTTTTTTTAGTCTATCATAATTAACTGCTCTATGTGCCACCTTGTGGAGTCCCTCAACTAAGCAAATAACCATACAGTTAACAGCTTTTGTGAGCTGGGGATTGCCCTTCATCTAGCCAGTTAAAATCCCAGTATGGCTTGGTGTGGGAAGAGCTGCAGTGCCAACCTGAAGGTTAGGCTCAAGGCATATGTAGTCATATGCAGTGGCCTGGGCCCAAAACCAAACATGTTCTCATTCCTTGGGTGAGAGGGTTGAGGAGAGAATAACATTTAGATCATTCCAGATAAGGTCATAAGACTGAGATATCAGAACAGTGGAATGTATCTAGTAGGGTCAGTCAAAAAGGAGCCTAAGTGCTAGTTGATCTGAGAGACACGGACAAGGAGAAGGGGACATGGACTCAAATTACTCTCTCTGCTCCTATTGCCTCTTGAAGAGGGAACTGGAGAGTAGGGGTTGGGGGTAGGGAGAGAGCACCGAATCGTAGTCTGGATCGGGTATGAAGTAGAGTTGGATTGGGGTCAGTTTATGGAGGAGGGTCAGATTCGGAGGGCAGTTTCAGGTAGATGGGAACTTCAGCAGGAAAAATAGCAGCAGAAGACTTAGCCAGGAACTGACTGGAAGTGACAAGAGGCTCAGTGAGGGAGGGAGAGGCAGCTGTAATGGCAGGAAGTTCTGGGGGAGGAGCAGCAGTCTCTGGGGTCACAGCAGGAGAGACAGGTGCAACACCTGCAGCTACAGGAGGAGGTGCTGGGAGCTGCCAGGAGAGGTCAAGGTCAGTTGGATCTGTTGTCAGGGAGGAGTTTGTGTTGGGTAGAGGGTTGCAGATGGGAGAGAAAGGAGAAGGATTTGAGAGGTGTCACAAGAGGTGCATAAAGTGGGAATGTTATGAAGTATAAAGAATGGTGGACATACGGAACTGTGTACCATTTGCTCAGTCTCGGCAGTAGTTTTCTAAGTCCTGCAGAATAGAGAAGTCAAAAGTGCCATAATCTGGGCAATGGGAGTTGTTTTCCAGTTCATATTGTGGCCATGCAGTGTTACAGAAGAATATCAGACATTTAAGTTTCATATGAAAATATAGGTGGCCAGGTTTCAGATTCTTCAATAGACAGGCTAGAGGAGAGGAAGGAGGAATAGAAGAGGTAGAGCAGGGAGAGGTGGTTTGTCATGCCCAGCGTGACAGAGACCAGCGACAGGGTCAAAGTTGGATGTCTCCAGCTGTGTGACCCAGGCTGTGACAGAACATGGGTGAGTGACTAATACGGTCATCACCGTGACCGGTCAAACACCAAAGGGAAAGACAGTTCTTTCCCCTGCGGATTTTTCTGTGACCAGCACTGGATTCTAAATAACACAGAAAAGCAGGATGGACCTCTCTCTGTCCTGGCAGTTGAGGAGAGAAAGAGAAGAAGAGAGATTGGAATTGGGGGGCAGTTGCAGCTAACCACCAGAGCAGCTGCTGGCAAGGGCCAGCAGGGGCCGCTTATAAAGGTGCAGGGCAAAGAAGAAATCAGGGGGGTGGGTTCTTATAGGCACAGTTCAGAGAAGAGAAATCAGTGTGTGGGGGCCTCTTAAAGGCACAGTGTGGAGAGGAAAGAGAGAGACAGACACTTGGGGAGTGGAAAAGCAGGGCCAAGGTGGCTAGATGGTAGGAAACAGAAACCTTACCCATCTAAAGCTGCTGGAATGGCAGGAGCTGGGGAGCCAGGAGGCTGCCTGGAATGCTGGAGCAAAGTCCAGAGACCTAGTTTGCCAGGTGGCTTCAGTAGGCTGTTTAAGATAGGGTGTAAAACCTTCCGAGGAAGAGACCGTATCCCAAGGTTTGAGCATCACATATTACAAATGGCATTTGAGAGGCCACTTGGACACAGGCCTTATGAGAGAAAAGGCTTTATTCCTGTCTGGGTGTAAGTAGAGACTGAAATCAGGGAAGATTTCAGCAGGTATCTGGGAGAGAACTTAGGTTTTTTTAGATCTGGAGTGGGATATTTATGATTAAGGGTCCCAGGATAGTCAGTATATAATACTTGCCCCTTTAGCACTAAGAAAATTGTTTACTTTGTCCTAAATTTTCTTTATTGTCATCTGTCTGTGTCGAGAGTAGCCTGTTTGATGAGAATGGCATGTTTGCTGTGAAGATTTCTTTCAGGCCGGCCGGACATGACAGTATATAATTTTTAAAAAAATATGTTTTAAGTGCCAATGAAGTTCAATATAAGATTATTTTGTTTTAGTCACCCTTTACAATGACAGCTTTACTCTTTTTCCCTTCACAATTTTAAGGCTTATGTTTTTGAACTTCCCTAATAGTCTTGAAGTAAGAGTATTCAGCAAACTTGTGCTTCAGATGCAAGGAAGGACTAAATGATTTGAGTCTTTTCTAAATTTTGACCCTACAAATACAATAATCTTAAACATTATTGTGAAACAATTTTTCTCCCTTACCCAACTCCCAAATTGCCCCTCTACTGACTTGTTATTGCTTTTAATCTAATGTATGAGATGAAAACAATTTCTTATTAAATAATCGCAAATTATGCAACATGAACTGACTTTTAAAAACAAAATGTTCACATATATGGGGAAACATAATTCTTCAAAAGAAGAAATTAGTGACTCTAATGAAGTGGTGGTTCAAACTTCTAATAATTTCCCCTTCTAGTAGAGTGCTATTTAGAATGACTTCATGTTCTTGAGTTAGATGTTTTAAAATACTTATTGGGTCTTTGAGAACTAAATGGGCTGTCTTAATGATAAGAAATTCCTGAAAGGCAATGGATTTCAATTTGCTTTTAACATTTCAGGCATTATGACATTCTTGAAGACCGAGTTCCTTCAGGACTTATTGTTGACTATCACAGTTTGTTGACTCAGTGTGAAGAAAGTTACAGGAAATTTTTAAATCTGAGAAGCAGTTTGTCAAATTGTAATTCTGATTCCGAGCAGGAAAATATCTCCATGGTGGAAGGGTTAAAATTATATTCAGAGATTGAACAGTTGAAACAAAAGCTAAAACTCATTGAGAACCCTTTATTGAGGTATGTGTGTTTTTATTATTCTTAACTAGTTAGCATCTTTTCTTACTAGCTCTTTTACTGAGAACTGATAGGTCTTTTTGGTTTCTTTAAGATATGTTTTTGGTTATCAGAAGAACTCTAATATCCAAGCAAAAGGTGTCCGTCCAAATGGCCAGAAGGTCACTCATGTAGTCTCCTCCACCATGATGTCTGGTTTACTGCGGTCTCTGCTAAGGGACAGGCTTTGTGAGGAACCTTTCAAAGAAGATACAGAAATTCAGGTAAAAGACAAATTTCTTGCTTCAGGTAGCATCTTTCGATTCATCCCAGGTTTTCGTGACTTCTACAGAATGTTTCCAGGAGCTTTCCAGAGCTGGTTTACTGAAAAATGGGAAGTAGTGAGAGCACTATCTTTATATCAGCAATAGTAACTTAGCAACCATGCTTATTACACTGTTTATAGACATAATTAGGCAAATTTAACTCCAGTTTTAGAGTTAGACATGAAGACACTTGGAGAAATATGCACGTTGCTTTTGGGCGATGTATATTTGTAGTGTGTTATTCTTTTCTAGTTCCATAGTGATCCATTGTCTGCTGTAAATGCCTGCTATGAAGGTGATACTGTTATTGTTTGTCCTGGCCATTATGTGGTGCATGGCACATTCTCCGTTGCTGACTCCATTGTGTTGGAAGGTGAGTATGGAAGATCACATGATCAACTTACGTGCATGCCACCATGACTGATCTTGTTGAAGCTCTGCTTTCATGGCAAAAATGTGATTTCACCCAGATGTGATGGAACATGCCTAGCACTCAGGAGGTTGAGGCAGGAGGATTGCCACAAGTTTGAGGCTGGCCTGGACTACATAGTGAGTGAAAGGCCAGCCTGAACTGCATAGCCAAACCTGGTCTCAAAAAGAAAAGAAAAAGAGAAAGATTTCAGTCCACTTGGTTTCATGTGGACTGCTTTGAAATGTTAAGGGTATTTAAAGTTTACAGGGATCAGTCGGATGCTTGAACATCTTGAGTCTTCTGTGGTAGTATATATTTTGGGAAAATGTTTACAGGAATATATTAAATAAAAAATTATACTTATTAAAATTGTACCATTAGAATTATGCTTTCTAAATTATACATGGTTTATTGAAAAGAAATCAAATTTTTAAAGTAGAAAAATATTCCCATCACATTTTTTTGTTGGTGCTTTTTCTTTCTTTTTTTCTTTTTTTTTTTTTGGTACTGGGGATCGAACTTGGGACCTTGTGCTTGTGAGGCAGGCAGTGGAACCAATGAGCTAAATCCCTGGCCCTATTTTTTTCTTATTCTTTTTTCTTATTTATTTATTTTGGTACCGGGGATCGAACTCAGGTCTTTGCGCTTGCAAGGCAGGCGGCAGAACCACTGAGCTAAATCCCCAGCCCATCTTACTCTTTTTTATATTCTGGCTGTCTTGGTAGCTGATCTTTTTTGTTGTTGTTGTTGTTATTGTTGTTTTTTATTTTGAGATGGGGTCTCACTATGTAGTTCAGACTGCCCTGGAACTCACTGTGTAGCTCACGCTGGTCTCGAATTCACAGCGATCCTCCTGCTTTAGTTTCCAGAGTGCAGGGATTACAGGTGTGCACCACCACGCCCCGCCAATCTATTTTTGTTTTAAATTTGGCTTAGTTTTGTGAGAAATATTTTGGTTGAAGTATGTCTAGTTTCAATTGATAAAAAATTATCTTAATTATTTGAAAGCTTACTGAATTTCACAAGTGCTACACTTTGTGCACTATACTTTGTATCCTTATAGAATATTAACTGTAGGAAAACTATTAAAAATAACATTTTATCAGTTAAAAGTTTACCATTTAGAATGCTAACTAAATATAGGTTACTTTACATTTGTTCATCTTGGCCTTGTGTATTGCTATAATGTGTCCAATTTAGATGTATCTGTTCAGTTATCAGAACTGATAGGTTAGCAATAAAATGTAAAAAACCAAAAATTTTTTATTTTATGTGACTGTTTACAAACTGTTTAAGCTATGTTCTTTTTTTGGTTAAAACCTCTTTTTTTTTTTTTTAACCAGGGATCAAACTTAGGACCTTGCACTTGTGAGGCAGGCGCAGTGCCACTGAACTAAATCCCCAGCCCTGTTAAAACATTTTTTGAGACAGGAAGTTGCTACATAGTTTAGGTCAGTCTTGAACTCACTACATAGCCCAGACTAGCCTCAAATTCAAAGTGTTCCTTCTGCCTCAGCTTCCTGCAATTACAGGAGTGTGCTATACCACACCTGGCTAAAACTTCTTTCTAGAAGCATTGTTGGGAGTTTAATTTTCGGCTCTTTTCTACATCATCTCACCTCCTTTTTGTTTTATGTGTGTAATTTTTGCTCTGCTTACTAATATTTGACTTATAATAGATGTATGTGGTATAAATGACACATCTACAGGATAAATCACTACAATTAAAACACTTTAGGTTTTGGCATAACAAAAATAGCATTCGTGGATAAGAGGCCTTCCTAGATTGGTGAAGAAATTATAATGTAATTGCTGGAGTGTCATAAATAACCATATAGAAAATGTAAAAATGAGCATACTTTTACTAACTGCATTTCTGAGAATTGGTGAATCAGACATTATCACTAGTATGAATATAAACTACCTGTTCATGAGTAAATTTAGTGATCTATAGCTAGCAGTTGTAATAAGTGATATACCTACTATGTTCAAGGCATTAATAGTATTTACAGTAGGGATTTCCTTTCTTTAGAAAATCCTTTTTTCCTTTTTCTTAACAGTTTTATGTTTTTACTAAGAATACATAATCTATTTTTTAATTAATGTAGAATTTTAAAAATACTTTAAATTTTTCTGAAGATAAAAAGCAGTGGCTATTGTAGAAAATCCACAAAGCACTGGTAGACATATACAAAGAATCAGAAACAAAATTACTGCAAATCATCCAGTGTCCATCCCCCTGGCACTCCTGTGTATGAAGTCCTTGGGCATTTTCCAGTGCCCCAAAGGCTTGTTTTTATTCTTTAAGTGGTTTTGCCTGTTCATTGTAGTTACTTTCATCCACTAAAGCAAGAACCCTTCCTTCCTTTCCTTCCTTTCCTTTCCTTCCTTCCTTTCCTTCCTTTTTCCTTCCTTTCCTTCCTTTCCTTCCTTTCCTTTCTTTCCTTTCCTTCCTTCCTTCCTTGTGCTTGTGAGGTAGTTGGCAGAACCACTGAGTTAAATCCCTAGCCCAAGAACTCTTCTTTAGACAGAGTTACTTCTTAGTTTTGTATGTGTAGTTTTGTTTTATGAAGCAAGTTCTCTAGTTTTCTGATAGTCCATTTTTTTTACTGTCTTATTCAGAGCTTGGCACATTGGAACATACCTGCAGTAACACTGACTGCCTGGGCTGGGACAGGAGGATTTCTTGAGCCTAGGAGTTTGAGGTCATTTTGGGCAAGGTAGTGAGACCCTATTTAGAGTCAGTTTAAATCAATATGTTTAACAGAATACAGATGTTAGGTAATCTTGAGGTTTTTCAAATATAATTTGTAATAAAAGTCATGGAATATTAGAATTAGAAAAAAACTTAGAAAGGGTGAGTGCTTTAAAGTTTTCCAAACCAGCTGTGAGTTCTGATAATTTTTTTCCTCCAAGTACCGAGGATCGAACTCAGGAACTTGTGCTTGCAAGGCAGGTGCAGCACCACTGATCTAAACCCCCAGCCCATGATGATTATTTTTTATAAAGTGAATTTAGTGCTCAACTAAGATGATTAACATGGGAGTTAAGTAGGGCTGTTACAAATTGGATATCCTGGCTTAAACAATACCTATGGGGAGGTAGATTTTATTTAAATGTAATGACATTGACTTGTCTGAAATTATCATTTGGAATCATTTGAACCAGAGTAATATATTTTAGCATTTTTGTGTTTAGACATTCCCTTCACCTTTCTTAATTGTTCCTGCTCTCTTTAGGATATGGTCTACCAGATGATATTGTAATAGAAAAGAGGGGTAAAGGAGACACTTTTGTGGATTGCACAGGTGTGGATGTTAAAATTTCAAGCATAAAATTTGTTCAGCGTGATGCAGTAGAAGGAATCTTAAGTAAGTATCTGAATATTTGGTGTGCTATTTGATCTAGGTTTTGAAAGAAAACAACTTTCTATGGAGAATAGACTTTAGTGAATACCAATTGTGTATATAGCAAGCTGATTATGTATATAATGTAATGATTTAGAGACTCTCCTCCAAAGTGAGAAATAGTTTAGCATATACTTGAAACTTTCATAGTTTTCTTTTTTGAGCATCATTTTTTAAATTCTGTATTCTTTATATTTAACACTAGATTGAAACTAGCTACTTTCGTGTTTTGCTGTGTTTTGTTCAGGTGCTGGACCCTTGGTCCCCAGGGATATGATGTTGAGTTGGTAGGATCTTTAATATGGGGGGCCTAGTGAGGGGCAAATAAGACACAGGCCTCCCCCCTCATGAATGGATTAATGCAGGTCTCACAGGATTGCATCAGTTCCTCCTCTGAGAGTGGGTCACAGTGAGCCTGGCCTTTCTCCGCTCTCTTCCTTGTTACTGCATGAGCCCTTTCTGCCTATAGCTGTTTTCCTGTATGCATCTCCATGTTGTGAGGCAGTCAGGGGTTGTCTTGCCAGATACCAGGCTGTTAGTATTTTCTAGCTACCAGAATTTTGTGTGTGTGTGTGTGTGTGTGTGTGTGTGTGTGTGTATATGTGTGTGTTACTGAGGATTAAATCCAGGGCCTTCACACCGAACTACTTGTTCAGCTCTTATTTTGTTTTGAATTTTGAGATAGGGTCTCACAGAATAGCTAAACTTCCCAGGCTGGGCTTGAAGTTGTAATCCTCCTCCCTCATCTTCCCAGAGTGCTGGGATTTTAGGCACGTGTCACCATGCCTGAATACATGTCTTTCTTTATCTGTTATATAGCATCAGGTATTTTGTTGTGGTGATACAAAACAAACTAAGACACATTATTGTAATATTTTTTCCTATGATTTGTATTCCTTGTTTTTGGGAACCTCTTTTTTCTCCCTCTTAAAATTCTTAGCAAAGTTA